ATGAGAGAAAAATGGTAGATAACGAGAAAAACAACTACTTTCCTGGCTATATGCCTCGCAGAAAATTGAATTACATCCTCTTGATATCTATATGCACCGATTCAAAAAGACGAATAAGGTTGCAAATGTTTCTTTCCTAAACGCCGAATGGTGCTTAAATTGTTCAGGATCGCATGGACCACCTGCAGACCGGTTTCAAGCTTTTGGCTATCATCAGTGCAGGGTTGTTCCCCAGATAGCATTCTTGACCGCTATCCGGTGCGAATCTGACCCAACGTCAACGCATCTCAGCATTTAATATCCATGAGGCGTTCAACGTCTTCGGAATGAAGGCGACCGCGGACCCAAATACTCCCTGGGAATCCCAAGTGGAGTTTACTGCAAAGATATCTCCGATTTCTCTCGCGATGTTGTTGCTAATTTGCCGTCGGCTTTGGAGAGTGGTGGGAATGAACTATTAGTTTAATAAGTTTTGATCTTATTCTGGCATTATATGATTCTTTTGATGCATCTATTGTTTATCTGCAGTTATTCCTTGCTTCAACATATTCTGCTCTAGTCGCGACGTTAGGGTCCTTGCGCCAGTGATAGCAGGTTGCTTGTTTCAAAGCAACAACTCTAGAACAGCTCTTGTTGAACCAGGGTTTCGAAGCTGATGGTTTTTTCGAAGAATGAGGTATGTATGTGTCCATTCCAATCGTGAGGATCTCGGATATTTCCGCGGCACTCTGTGAAGGTTCCTCAGAATCAAAGCATATTCTATTTCAAGGAAGCTCGGAGAAGAACCGTCCCAGTCTCTAGTTGATGGAATGAAGAATGGGCAGGTTGGGAAGATGAGTGTATGATCAGAGTTGCCAAGAGGAGCTTGTGTTGGCTGAATGATTGTTGACAACATGAATTCGTGTAGGTTCCTTGATAAGCTGCTCTAAGCCGTGAGTGATGGCGAAAGCTTCGGCTTGTCACCCAGCTTCGTCCATTTTGTTGGAGTATACGAGCCAAGCAGTGTTGTGTACATTGAAATCACCCATGATGATGATTTCTGCTGCTGGATGGTTTTGCTGAATCAGTTCGAGCTTCAAGGACAAGAACCCGAAGAGCTCTTCCTAGGATGGATCATTTGGTGATATGTACACTGTGTCCCACACGAATGGGATTTGAACTAAATAAAGCATGGATATTGAACCACCAACAATTAATTCAATTACATCAGAAGAAAAGAATGATGATTCTTCAAAGGAATTTACCTCGGAATTTACACCATAGTAAATATAGCACTTTCCCATATTTAATAGTTCAATGTAGGAGACACTTGAAAAAAAAACGACTCGCTTGGCTTATGATTCTTACTTAGCAACTGCTGGTAGTTATAATCCTACCTAGAAACTAAATGTAAATTATTTAAATTGTATAAACTATTATACTAATATACCTTCATATGCCTGGTAGAGTCCGATATCATAATATAATTTCTATTTGTAAAATTCGTATGGTATATTGAGGAACAATAAATAATTAATGTCGAAGGATGACTTTAATACAATGAACGAGTTGTTTCGCTTGGTGTCGATCATCAAAGAATTTATCAATGGAACAAATAATATCAAAAGACCTCGGAATTCATAATTTAATGTTGATTACAATGTCGTAATCGCAACAGAGCATTGATTTGTATTGCATCTGCATATTTTTTGTAGAGTATAATATAAAGTAGTAATGGAACATTACGTTTGCGTATCTGCAAATAATCATTTCAGTATCTCCATACAGCAGTATTTTTATCTGCTTCCAGTTCCGACTACTATCATAGCACTTGCATTTCGATTCCGACCACGATCACGGTACTCGCTCAGGCAACCAATCAGAACGTCTTATTTTGACTACGGTGCCAAGATGGATAACGGAATTGAAACATGCGAAAGACATATACAATAATATACATATCGACTACTCCTTTTCAGTTCACATAATCAATTATCAACAACTTGGAGAAAAAAAAAACATCAAATAATAGTATATTATGTAACAAGTATTATAAACGTCCTTTCAGTAACGAGTATTTTAAGCACGAGCGGAGCAGAGCGGAGCGAGTGTTTAATAAATGAGTGTCTAGAAGAGTTTATAAACGCGTTACATACTATATTTTTTCTACGAACTCCTAAAATTACACTAAAATACCTGCTATTCCTGCTAACCTACAAAATGATTCGAAAGGAATGGGAATTGAGAACATAATAGATGCAACTGATGCATGCAACCAGCGAAACACTTATAAGTGATATTGGTTGTAGATGTGTTCAGTCCATTGCTTATTAACCTTTCTTTCACGTTTATTGTCATGCTTAGCGCAGAATAAATAAATTGTTCTCAAAGATGGATGCATCATTTTTACACTTCTTGGAGATACGCAAGTACCAAAACATTTTCTTCGATTTCACTTTCTTATTCTACATTTCGCATATATTTTTAATGAAGAATTCTGATACAAACGAATATTGTTTGAATAATTCTGATACAAAATTGGCAAATAACAGTTGACAGTTAATACAATTGACAGACCAGACATGTCTCAAATTACTGAAGCTGTGTTTAATGAACTGTGTTGCCATGGTAATGTGTTTGAGAAATAGTGTTACCATGGTAACGTGTTTAATATTTTGAGTAAATCACAGATCGTCAATCCGTGATTAATCGATCATTCAGCGTGGTACATATCCGTACGCTAAATGCCATTTTAGTTATGTGAGTAGAAAAAGTAATTTCCGACTCAACCCATTATCAACTAGGAAAAAGCCAAATATTCAAAGTGGAATGCAATGGTCACAAAGAGACAGAAGTCATTGCCAGACTAATTCATAAAATGAAAGAAAAATGGTAGATAACGAGAGAAAAACAACTACTTTCCTAGCTATATGCCACGCAGAACATTGAATTACATCCTGTCGATTCAAAAAGGCCAATAAGGTTGCAAATGTTTCTTTCCTAAACGCTGAATGGTGCTTAAATTGTTCAGGATCGCACGGACCACCTGCAGACCGATTTCAAGCTCTTGGCTCTCATCAGTGCAGGGTTGTTCCCCAGATAGCATTCTTGACCGCTATCTGGTGCGAATCTGACCCAACGTGAACGCATCCCAGCATTTAATACCCATGAGACGTTCAACGTCTGCCAAATGAAGGCGAACGCCATCTAGTAAGGAAAGGAAGACTCCACAACAAAATCCCATTTCAGATCTCCATATTTAATAAATCAATGTAGGAAACACTTGAAAAAAACGACTCGCACTGCTTGGGATTCTTACTTAGCCACTGCTGGTAGTTATCTACCTAGAACACATATACATCTAGGGCCAAAATCAATGTACAGGGTATCCCAATTTGGGCACTTTTGCGGGGTATCTCCCTTATCAGTAAAGATAGAGCATTGCGGTTTTCGCGACAGTGTGCTACTTTTTTATGAAATTAATAATGGCGCAAGCAGAATTGTGACAGCTCTTCCGGTTGTCGAGATACAGGGTGGAATTGAAAAATATCACTTTTCAGGCACCCTCCGTGTCTCAGTTATCTTTGAACTTATCGAAGAAGTTAAAACTTGTTTTTATAGAGTTTTTCTCGTAGAATCCAGTGGCGTAGTTATTTTTTTGCTAGCACCTTTTGTTTTTTAGTTATGGAGCAAACATATGTTTTTTTAAATGGAACATCCTGTATATTATTTCATATATACATTGAGCATGAAGTGGGCTTTCCAAAAATATATAATTGTATACAATTATTTTCAAAAACAAGCTCAGAATTTCAGATTTTCAAAAAAAAATTTTTAGGTAGAAGGATATGGCTAAAATTTATTGAAAACAAAATTTATGTGAGTGATTATTATACTTCTTATACTTTCAAACTCAATAATAATAATATTTTTTGATTTCTCATTCCTTAATTATTTATTACATCATTCAAACATAATTATTATGATGAATAACAACAAACACCAAACCTAATTTTCTTAAGATTCAACGTAGAAAAAAGCAAATGAAAGCAGAATTTTGAAAATGCAAAGAGGTTTCATAGGTGGTTTTCAAAATGACGACCATTTTCCCGTATACAAAATTGGCACATTTTTGTTATCCTTCTGATAGCGTTGTAAAGAATTATAGGACTTCTTTGCAAATTTTGGAAACTCAAATCAATCGCTGCACGAAGCTCTGCTACAGAATGATATTATTTGAATTGAGTTTGAAAGTATAAGAAGTATAATAATCACTCACATACATTTTGTTTTCAATGAATTTTAGCCATATCCTTCTACCTAAAAATTTTTTTTTGAAAATCTGAAATTCTGAGCTTGTTTTTGAAAATAATTGTATACAATTATATATTTTTGGAAAGCCCACTTCATGCTCAATGTATATATGAAATAATATACAGGGTGTTCCATTTAAAAAAACATATGTTTGCTCCATAACTAAAAAACAAAAGGTGCTAGCAAAAAAATAACAACGCCACTGGATTCTACGAGAAAAACTCTATAAAAACAAGTTTTAACTTCTTCGATAAGTTCAAAGATAACTGAGACACGGAGGGTGCCTGAAAAGTGATATTTTTCAATTCCACCCTGTATCTCGACAACCGGAAGAGCTATCACAATTCTGCTTGCGCCATTATCAATTTCATAAAAAAGTAGCACACTGTCGCGAAAACCGCAATGCTCTATCTTTACTGATAAGGGAGATACCCCGCAAAAGTGCCCAAATTGGGATACCCTGTACAACCTACAATAAAAAATGTCGATGGATGACTTTAATACAAGGAACGAGTTGTTTCGCTTGTTGTCGATCATCAAAAAATTTATCGATGAAACAAAAAATATCAATGATGGATGACGGAATTGAAACATGCGAAAGAAATGTACATATCGACTACTACTTTTCAGTTCACATAATCAACAACTTGGAGAAAAAAAAAACATAGAGCCTGATCAAATAAAAAATATCAAATAACATGTTGCAGGTACAGCGCCAACCTGAGAAATTCCCTAAAGAAAGGCACCTGGACGGTCGAGGAAGACCGAGCCATCGTCGAGCACATGGCCTCCGACAACCAATCATGGTCGACTCTGGTTGAGCAGCTGTCGAGGTGTCGCGGGCAGCTCAGGCAGCGCTATCAGGTGATCCAGGCGTTTCTCAACTCGAACCCGGACAAGAAAGTCGAGGATGTGCCGAAGAGGAAGCACGGCTGGAAGAACGATACGGAAGAAGAGACATTTAAGTTCATGAGGTGAGTTCCCTAGAGAACTAAATATGTAGTTGAATAAAATACATGTGTTTTGATTGTTTCGTTAGTAATAGAGGAATAATATGCTACGGACTTTGATATTTAACTGGATAGGAAATGAGGCAATTTTTGAAATGACACACCGTGTATATAACCACAAGCATCTCAGTGACCTTCAACTACTCGTACAATATTATTAACTATAATATATAATAGAAGTTCATGAGCTCTCAAAGTGGAGTGTATAGATAATATAAGAAATGAAAAACTGCTTGTGGAGACGAGCTTTTCACTTCTTATATTATTGGCGATGGCTCAACTACTGGAAAATTATAATTTCTCTTTCCAAATAGTAGAGAAATTAATATTGTTGCGAATATGGACTGAGAGAAAATAACTATAATTTCATTTGATAGACATTCAAGGTTATACACAAAGTTGATCACTGATTTAGTTTTGATTCATTTTATTGGATGATAACTTCTCTATGATATAGACAGCTGTTGTCTACGAATCCTCAAGTTATAAGCTTGTCCTATTATTCAACTATACTAACTAAGATTAATGACAGATGCTGTGCAACGTTTGTTTAAAGTATGCATCTTTCAAGTCATGCTTCTTATGGGTTTTCAACAAATCCTAGACACTAATAATTGTGCTCGCATGCAGCGGCGTCACCAATCATATTTGAATTTGCATTAGAACTATAGCAGGTACACATATTCCAATTTTCTAAAAACTGAAGATGAAGCTTCAGGGTATCTTGAAGAGTTCGAACAGCTGTCATAGACTTAAAGAGGCTTTAAAATAAAGTGTGTCCGTTCTGATAATGGCGGAGTGTTTTGTGGGCAAGGTTTTGAACAATATCTCACGAAAATAATAGGGATAGTACATCAAAAAACAAATCCCCATACACCCCAACAAAATGGCATGAGGGAGCGAATGAACAGGACTGTTATTTAAAAAGCCAAGTGTTTGTTATTTGAAGCTGACTTGCCAATATACCTGAGAAACAGAATAGCTAGAGGCTTGAACTATTGAATACCATATGACACAAGTGGGATAAAAATTTCAAGAAAATGCTCTTCTCGATATTGACCTACAAATGTAATTTTTTCAAGAAAAAAAAATTCTGAGAAGAGCTCAATTTTTGGTATTTTGTAGATAGGAATGAATTCATGAAAAAATTCAATTGACCCAACCTCCAAAAATTGACAGTTTTTTCGATATTGACCTCCAAATTGTAATTTTTTCAAAAGAAAAGTCTCTTGAAATGGCTGGATTTCTGGTAAGTAGGTACGTTGTAGATATGAATTAACTGATAAAAAATACTGTCTCCTAAATGGTTTTTTAACAACTGAATGAAGTTGACCTTCAGAATGTTATTCTGTACAATTCCAAGGTCACGGGATTCAGGAAAAATTAATGTTTCATTACCGTCGACGTTTGGTCCTACATTATAGGGCATTCTCAGAAATCTATGGGTACCTATACTAGAAAAATGAGTCAGATGAAATATGTTGCAGCTTCGATTTTCAAACACATTTTCCTGAACATCCGTAGTTTTCTTGAGTTTGTCTGGTTCTCATCTCATTTTGATAACTTTTTTCACGCCTTTTTTTGTGTCTTTGTTGTAGTGTATGTACCCATTTTTCTTATAAATGAAGAGTCCTTCATTTTTGATATGTTGTATTGTTTTAGAATATAAATATTGATGATTCCAGGGATTAAATAATAAAAAATTAAATGAAATACTTGCTATTGTACTAGTTTTCATACAAGATTGTCAAATTGGCACAATCACCTAAGATTATTTTCCAAAATATTGATCATACACTTTCAAGATAGGGTACAGTTATTTCGTGGGTAGTTTACTAACTCATTGAAAATAATCATTCATTGATCAATCCATCATGGCTTTCAGAAATCGAACAGTTTGTTACATCTGTAATTTATAATTTGCTACAGTTCGAATGTCGCGAATTGATAGAGACGATAATGCTGATAAACGAGAAATTGCTATCCAGAGACGTCAAGCAAATAATCTTCCACTACTAACTGTTACAGATATCAGCAGGATATGTATCAATTGTACTTAGTCAATTCGCAATGAAATAATTGCTATAGAACGTGATCATAGTTGCAGCCATGTTTTAACAGGAACGGCAAATCGTTCATGTATCATATGTGATGCTGCACATATTGTAAATAAACTGATCAACATTGATAACGTCGTGGTCCAAAATATAGCCTGAATTCAAAGTAGAATAACTCACGAATTTCCATACCAATATGAAATCGGTTTTCACCGATGATTAGCCTAATCTCTTGGCAGTTGGTTGTGGCAATATGAAACTTCCGTAATTTCAGATAACATTGCTACAGGGTGATAATTGAATGGGTGTGAAATTGCATCGTGGACTTCACCTTTCCGTTTGAACAGATATTTAAAATTTTATTTTCTCACCTGTATCCTCTTGATTGATGCTTTCTCTCGAAACGTTTTCGGAATTTTCTAATGCGGAGCTTTGATAATCGTGTTATAAATAGTCATTCAAAATGATGCATTTTTTCGACGATTAATTGAATGAAATTTAAAGTTGAAATTCTTTTTCGAAGAATCAAAGTTGTATGTATAGTAGTCAGATATGTGATTGTGTTCGAACACAGAAAATTCTGAAGAAGTCTATACAAAGTGATACAAGAAATACTGAATGATGGAATGTAGAATAACGTAGTCTTTCTAGTAGATGAAACATGATTTTCTTTGTGTTACTAGGGAAATAATGGAGTGTTACTTCGTCATGAGGATGTCTGGTGTCTCACCTCGTAATGGTTTTGTAATTTCTCGGATCGAAGAACTTCCTCGAAATTCCTTGGCGCGAAAACAGTGGCCGAGAGACGGCCTAAGGATGACCTTAGGGGAGCGCAAGGGAAACCTGGAAGTGGTGGGCCTCAAAGAAGATCCACTGCAGAAGGTAATCCTGCTGTGCACCCTAAGGCTGTCAAGGCCAAGAACAATGCGTCAGGAATGACGCAATCAACAAAACGGAGCCGCACGCCGGGCTCCACACCGACTGACACCTCGCGAGTGGCGAAGCGACCCCGGTCTGGTACTGTAGACGCAGGGCGGACGCATACGGGGCAGCCAAGCTACTCGCAGGTAGCAGCCGCAGATAGGACCCTGCAGGTGGTCATCAGCCGCGAAGGGCAACCTGAAGCGGAATTTACTGAGGACCAGAAGCTGGAGTTCCTAGATGCTGTTGGAGGGGTGATCATGGGGACGCCAACGGCGTCCAATGATCCACCCCCGCAGTTCACATCAACGCGGTTATGGCGTAGGCAACTGCTGGTAACCGCAGCAAACGAGGCCTCCAGAGATTGGCTCCTCAGGAGTCTGACAGTAATCAGACCCTGGGAGGGCGTAACTCTGGTTGCCATCGACCCAGAGCAATTCAGGCTCCAAAGGACCGTTGTTCGAATTCCGGGGAGGCTGCCTAACCAGGACATACTGAGTGTCCTGGAAAGGCAGAATCCCAACCTGTCCACCTCTCAGTGGAGAGTCTGGAACAGGAGGGAGGAGAAACGCGGTCTAACGTTGATAGTTGGGATGGACAGTAAGTCCATAGCAGCTATCGAGGAGGCTGGGGGCTCTTTGTTCTTCAGTGCCTCGCGGGCACAGGTGAGCTGGGGGTCCAAGGAAGACCGGGAAGAAGAGAAGCCAGAGGCGTCCGAAGAAATGGATGCCTCTGAGACAGCAGAGGACACAACTCTGACAGAGGACGGCCCAGGTCGTCCTCTGGTGGAGAGAAGTCCGGAAGAAGAGGGACGTGGCGAAAGCCATGCCCCTCCGGACGGGAAGAGCGACTAGGCCATCAAATGGCGACCCATAAGTCCTCTTCCCTGAGCTTCCTGCAGGCTAACTTACAGCATGGGAGAGCCTCCACGGCTCTCCTATGCAGGAGGTTAAGGGAGCTCAAAATAAATCTGGCACTCATTCAGGAACCTTGGGTACACCAAGACAGAGTGAGAGGAATGGGGCAAGCGGGAGGGACACTGTATTACAGCACTTCTAGCCCGAAGCCAAGAGCATGCATATACGCGAAAGGTGTTAACGCGACTATGCTACCAGGATTCTGCTACAGAGACCTGGTAGCGATCAGAATCAAGGTTAACAGTACAACAGAGGGAAGCATGAGTGACATTATAGTATGCTCAGCCTACTTCCCTTACGAAATGGCAAACCCTCCTCCTGAGGTAGGGAGTCTTGTAAGGCACTGTGAGGAGATGGGACTGCCCTTGATGATTGGATGCGACGCGAACTCGCATCATACACTGTGGGGGAATCGCGACGTCAATCCGAGAGGCAGGGCATTTCTGGAATTTCTGAGCTCCAGTAATCTGGAGATCCTTAATAGAGGAACAGTGCCAACATATTTCACGCCTATAGCGCGGACAATCGTTGACTTGACGTTATGCTCAACAGAGCTAACAGGTAGGGTCAGTAACTGGCGTGTGTCGACGGAGGAAAGTCTGTCTGATCACCGTCATATATTGTTTTCAGTAACAGGCCATATCCAAGAGGAAAACCGATGGTTCAGAAACCCCAGAGCAACCAGATGGAACCTCTACCGAGAGCAGCTTGAAGGTAGACTCTGGAACATGCCATCACGATATGGCTCTGAAGCAGAAATAGAGACATTCGTAGGATGTCTCAATTCTGCCATAGTCGAAGCATACGAAGCCAGCTGTCCCTTGAAAAGGACAGACTGTCTAGGCAAAACACCATGGTGGAATTCAAAAATTGAACTCCATCGAAAGAAAGTCCGAAAGCTGTTGAATAAAGCCAAAAGAACAGAAAAACGGGCCCACTGGGAAGAGTACAAACTGGCCCAGAGGGAATTCAAAAAAGCGATCCGCGATGCTCGCAGGGACTCGTGGAGAGCGTACTGCCAAGGAATAAATACTGTTCCTGAGGCGGCAAGGCTCAACAAAGTTCTCTC